AAGAGAATGAATTAAAAATTTTAATTTAATTAATTGATGTTTACAAGAATAGAAACAAGAAATAATGAAATAAATATTGAAATGAGAATCGATGATCAATATAACATTAAAACCTATAGAGAGTAGATTAATGTAAGAAGAATATTTAGCTGAAATATTTGAATTGATAGGAGATGATGCATATAGAAATTTAGGATTTATCCTTAAGTAATTTGTAAAAATAGTTTTAAAAAATCTATTTATAAAATATTCAATCTAATTGTTTGTTATTCAATAGTTACCTATAATTGTAGAGTAAATTAAGAAACCATAATCTGGATATGTGGAATTAAAATATCATGTTTTACCATTTATGAATATATTCTTGAACATTAAGACTTTGATGTAAAGTTGCTATTTTGGCACATTTAATTGAAATGGCTCATGATTAAAGCAGCTTCGCTCTTTTCAATAAAATATTGTGAGTCTTATATTTGCGGAGAACTTTTATCTCTTTTTATAAATTGAAATGAGCTTACATATATATTAGAAGGTCTATCTTTGAAATGTAGAATTTAAAATTGTACCATTCTTTTTTTAGTTTATAAAATTATAAAATAATCTATATTATTTAGATGGAGTAGATGTAAAATCAATAATATAATAATACTTTATAGCTTGTTTACAAATGCGCATATTAGTTTCCAGGAGTACTTTAAGCAATAGGCCGTAATTGTTAGAAAATAATGTTGTTCATTTAATTAAGACTTTTGAGGAAGAAGGAGAATAAAGAACTGTTATTTTAGAATAAATTAGAGCATTTTTACACTCTAAGAGATTTAATTAATAATAATCTTATTTTTGGATACATTATAAATTATTTTACATAACTGGTTTCAAAGATTCTATTTTTTGAAAGACTATTTGAATTATGTAAAGATCCTATTTAATTTTTAAGATTATCTACTATCATTGTTATTGATAAATTTATAAAAAAAGAAGGTTTCCCGAAGATATGTAAATATTTAAAATACTTATTACATTAATTTATCGATGATCGATGTAAAAAAATTTAATTTATTCTTAATGAATATATTTTTGTGATCCAAAAAACTAAAAAAAGACTCTATCATGTAGATCACGTAAATGGTCATTTAGAAGGTAACCCAGAATTTGATAAAAAAATTGAGCAGATTCTCTTCAGGTAAAGTTTGATAATATTATACATAATTTAAATTCCAACTCTTATGATCAACATTTATTTTAATTTAATAAAATTTTTATTTAAAAACTTCAAAATAATTTCAATTTTTTCAAGAGAGATTAGATATATATAATCGCTCTATCATTTATTTATCTACTTTTAGATGTTGTGAAAAATGTTCAATAAGTTAGTATTGATATTGCTTATAAATAGACCAAACATGTGCTAAAGATGATACTTGTGCAAAATAAGTAATCCCCATTGAAACAGGATAAGGTTATATACTTTAAATTATTATAAGATTAAAAATGAATTGGTGATTTTATTAAATAATTTTATAATATTTAATTTTATTTTATTGAGTGATAAATCATATTGAATTGGTTTGTTAAGTTACTCTTGTATTAATTTGTTGAAGGTTTTCATGGATTAAATATATATTTAGAAAACAATACCAAATATAGAAGTACCCATCATATGTTTAATATGAGGCTTCTTTATTTAAGTAAAATAATTTAATATTGTAGTTAGTTCTAGGTACAATTTAAGTTTAGACTTCTAATACTTTGTCAAATTCATATCCCTATTATTTATTATTGGTTTTATTATTAAGCAAGTAAAGCAGAAATGACTTGTTTTATATAGGTTATTTTTCATTCCAGGATGATTTTTATTTCAGATTAGGTTGACTCAGTGTCAAAATATAAGACTCTTATTTATGTTGATTATCATTTTAATTTTAGTTAATTTGTTAAATTTTTAATAAAAATAATTATTAACTGATTTTCGGAATAATTTAAAATAGAGTCTATATCTTAAATGTTATTAGGCCAGATTATAATCGATCTTTATAAAAATTAAATTTATATTCATCTTAGGAAACTGAATTGTTATTTGAGAATTTAAAAATTTTGAAAAAATGTATTTCTAATTTAAACTAGTTTATTAAAGGAGAAAATTGAATGAAAAAAATTATAACATAATAGCTTTAACAATTAGAATAAGATTGATTAGTTAATTCAAATCAAATCTTTTTTAAACATAAAATAATAGGTATTATTTTATAATTCCTTATGGTGATGAGACCTAGACTTAAAAATCTTATAAATTATTTTAAATATTTATTTATTCATTTTAATTTAGGTAGGGCATAAAAGCTGAATAGAATATGTAATTCTAATAACAACCTAAAAATTGACTTACCGAGAGAATTGCAAAGTCTTGATTGATTAATTCAACAAAAACTTAACAACTGAGCAGAGCCTATTTTATATAATTTATAACAATTACATAATTGGTAAATTATAAATTATAATTTATAAATTTTATAACATATCATACAGATATTTTACATTATTTTATTATCTTCACATTAAATATATTCCAAGATTTTTTTGTTGATATCACAGGCTGAATTATTATGCTTAAGAATTTAATGGGGTTATAATTATTTTTTAATATTTAACATAAGATGAAAGTTGACGTTCCATAAAATGTTAACAAATAAATACAAGGTAATTTCTAACCCATCTATTAGGAAGAGCCATAATTTAGAGGAGAATTTTAAGGAAATTTTTTATTCGAGTTGATTCTATTCATAATTTCCTTACATATTTTTTTTTTACCTATTAAAAACTTTGATCTATTGCAATTGATATTTAATATATATTTGTTAGAGAATATATTATAACTTATAAAGATATTGAGTCGATTATAAAGTTTCTAAATTTTTGTTTAGAAAATCTCTGCAAAAAGAAAATTTAAGTCTAAGAAATTCAAATGGACTCATTTTGCCAATTTAAAAATCATTAGACCAACTTTCAAAGTTGTATAAAGAACCATATCTGGAATAGTTTTGTTTCAAAAAAAAACCTTCAAAGTATCTTTAAATTTATAGAAAAGCAAATATATTGCAAAACATTATAGGAATTATGGCTAAGGTATAATGATTCTATAATTCTAGCTTTAATGTTTAAATGAAGCAACAGCTTCTAAATTGTCACTCTTAGCTTCTTTAATCTAATAATCATATGCATACTTCTTTATTTTACTAAATTATAAAATTGGAATTAATACATTTATAAAATTTGGTAAATTCTCTTCCTTTAGAAGACATTAATTTTGATAACTATTTGATTTCATATTTTTATTTCAGTGCTGTTAATTAATATTATTTCAACATATAAAGTGCTAATTCATTTTTTCTTATTTAAATGCAAGTTTTAGAAATAAGAAGGAAAGAAATGTTTGAGCATGATAATAAATTCCAATTATATGTTCTTATGTGATCCAAATGCTCCACCTTAAAATACTTGAAGTCTATAGATGATCTTTGGAACCATATGGAATTTGCACATAATGATTATTATTATTGATTACGAATGATTTTATCCAAAAAGTTTAAATTTTAGAATACAAATATTCGTAAAATTAGAAAGGATTACATTAGATTTCAAAGTGTTTCCTCAAAAGAGAAGCAACTAATACATAACAGACAATAAAAAATTTTTATAGTATAGTTTCTTTGTAACCTTAGGATATTAAATTAAGTATTATTGTTTGGTAAATTAAAGAAATTTAACTATTAATTAGAAAATAAAAATTTCTAAGAGGTAAAATTAAATATATCAACTTATTTAATATTCTTCCTGCCTTAAAATATTAATTAGCCTGATAAAAAGTTAATTGGTGCATCTCCTAAACTGATCTGGTCAGAATAGCAAAATCTAAAATTAATTCAGTTTTCTAACTTGTCATTTTTTATCGTGTTTTTTACTCATCCATTTTTTCTTTATAATTTTGATTCAAGCTACTTATTTTTAATCTTAAGGATCAGCTGAGAACAAACAATACAATAATGTGCAAACCTAAAATTATATTAGGGGAGTTTGATTGATTAAATCACCAGCATTGTAGTCTCCTTAATTTTCAGATTCCTTAATGTTGTACTTTCTAGCAGCACTATTCTCAAAATATTTCAAATTCTAAAATTATAATGTATTAAATGCAAATTGCTTAAGAGCAACAGTATTTACACATCATTTTAACAAAAAGTGGGAAAAAAGCTCATGGAAAAATCAAGCAACATTTAAGTTTGATCTAGAAATTATCAATCATAAGCAGTATTTGAAGGACTATATAGATTGTGGCTGTAAATATTCAAGCTTCTTAAGATTTAGTTATAGTTTTACTTAATTTTCTTCAAAAAATACAATTCTACAGAATTGGTAAAAAGCAAAGCTTCATTATTATTATCAAATACTAATATCTCAATAACTACAACTAGTTAAAACAGAATTGCAGTCAAATTATTATTTCTAGATATATTCTACTTCTTCATTTAATGTTTTTGATGAATTGTTAATCATTCTGCTATTTTTGAGATGCAAATTATTTAGCTCAAGTTTCAGCAAATGAGAGAACTTTGGCACTTAATAGCTACCAAAAGATAAATCCAACTAAGATGATCAGATATCTTTCAATAAGTTAGATCAATGTTTTAATTCTTCTACTGACTGCTTCAAAATATGAATCGATAAATGTAGATATTTAGGGTAATCGAATATCATTATATCATACTATGATATTCTTCTATTTTTGGTAGTCTCTTTCTCCCAGACTAAACTTTTACTATGATTTTATCGAATTCTCTCCTTAAGGTAATAAGCATGAATTTTCTAAGTTTGAATTGAGGGAACTTTCTGCACAATGAATAATACATTTGGGCTCGTACCAATTTCTCTGCTTTTATTTATCAAAAATTAAATTTTTTTACTTGCTTAAACTCATAGTCAATTTTTAATTAACTTTTTAATTCATATTAATTGTCATTTTTCTTGTCGTCTACTGCTAGTGTTATATTATTAATTTGTTACTGTCTATGACTTGAGTTGACTCTTTTAACCTTAAACAAATCTCTTAATTCAAAGTTAAGAATACTGACGATCAAAATTAAAGTATGGAAAAAGACCATAAAATATAGAAAATCTCTTTTGAAGTATATTTTTAAATCAAATTTCATTTTTAAAAACTAAGCTAACAAATCAAGAAGCAAATTTCAAAATCTACATCTATGCATCTATGTGTTTCTTTCAGAGCATTATATTAACTTGATTAAGAAAAAATGAATGCGAATATAATCAAGTTATAAGCTTAAGATGGAGGTGGTAAAAATAATCATGATATAATTCAATTTTTTATTCAGTTTTAACTTCAAATTAACTTTTTATCCTCATATCAAGATTTAAAGTAAATTTATATTGTTGATAAACTTAAATCTATCTTTATATATTAAAATGTTTTATCATTTGAACACTTAATTTAATATTTCTACTTTAGATCTACCAAACAAATGTAGACATGGATACAAATCTTTGGATGTATCAATAGATAGAGTCTAATAATAAAAATTGAAATTGATACAAATGATTGATTTGTGGATTACTTTGTCCATTTCACATACTTCTTTTGGATATCCACTTCAACTATTATTATATCATTAGTTGTAAATGGAAATGCTATTTATTTATTATTTTTATCTTATTAATCATGATTAAAACAATAACCTTAATAATATATATTATATGTTCTATTATGAACTATTAATATAATAACAC